TATTTTTGGAGCTTTAGATCTTATAATTAGAGATGAAAGTAAATTTTCAGGCTATCATAAAGATTTCCAATATTAAAGCAACATCTCTTGATACAATTTGAAGGTGTCGCTTACTCTGATTGTTTGGAGCCTCAACTTTATGTATAAATCACACCCATAAATATAAAATGGACATGCAATACTTTGAGTGATCACATGCGGTTAACTTTTGCTTAGTTATCTATTTAGATCCATTCAAATCGAACAGTTTGGAGATAACATAGAAGTATGTTTTCTATGTGGATAACACCACGAGTAAGAGTTTTTCAAAAACCCAGATCTAGTAGCCAAACCGATTAACAATTGGACCAATTTGGATCACAGATCCTAGGAGAACTGGACCGATTCTCTCGTGTGGGAATTGGTCCGAAGGAACATAAAATATATTTAAAATTTATATATTTTAGAATATAAAAAGAAATAAAAAAGATAGGAACCGAGTGATTTATCAAAGCAACTCGCTATCAGTGTAGAAAAATCGGGCGGTTCAAATTCTAATCGCTCGATTAGACCCGCTTAGATCAGAACCAGCCACAAGCCGGTTCTGACTTCGGCCAGTTTTGGGATTTTATATAATTATTTCGAACTTTTGTAAAATAACCTACAAGGGATTTCGTTTGTAATGTATTTTTTAATGTTTTTCTCCATTTTGACAAATATTGAAAATTGTTTTGGCCATTAATACTTATTTTTACATTTTCATCTTCTTTGAACATTTTTAAAATTACCCCTTGGCATAAATCGATCTTTTAAAATTCATTTTTTTTATTAGTTTTCAACTTCATTTAGATGTGCTTTGTTTAATCATGCCTTAAATACAGTTTTTTAAAAAAATTATATTTTAAATTTTTTTAACACTTTTTTTTATCATCCAGGACTTGTCAAGTAAGCCAGTTGATCCGATCGATTTACCGGTTAAGCCGATTATACTGCTTCGAGCCCCATGTCTGGTTAACCTTTCCGACTGGTCAGTTGATCTGGCGGATTTACCAATTAGGCCGATTGTATTGCTAAGAGCCCCATGTCTGGTTAACCTTTCCAGCTCGATTTTATCTACACTTTGACAATAAACCTAGCAAAATCAAAACAATGACAATAAACCTGGCCGATTACCATTTATGAGAAAAATAAGGTCAAGCCGATTGATATTTATGAGAAAAATAAGGTCAAATGCCCACTGATTTCAATCCAGGTTGGCCATTCCCAATTTGGAAATGTGATTTTCAAATTACTAATACAGTACTGATAAACACCTATGCCCGTTTTGGGTTAGGATCAGATCTTATTTGTCTTCTTTTTGGCCTTGGCGTAAAGAATATTTACTATTTGAAAGTTCTTGTCACCATCTTGGACTGAAAGGTGGCCATTAAGTGCGCAACAGTAATGGCCAATGAATAATATTTGGTTTGTATATCTAAAAATCACTTTTCAACATTAACAGTAAAATTTTGAAACTAAAAAAAATGTACAGAAATACTTATTTTTAGTGCTAAATGGATGGTCTAGACAAATCTGTTACAATCAATGTAGGAAAAAACGGGCGGTTCAAACCGAAACCGCTTGGTTAGTAGCCGGTTTTGGTGAATTGACCAGGTATTTTAAAAAATTCAAAAAATATGATATGAAATCCTAAAAAATAAGAAATTTTGTTTGTAATGCAATTTTTTAAAATTTTTTTAAATTTTTTTAAGTTTTTAATTTTATCATTGTGGCAAAGATTGGAAATTGGTTTGGCTAATATTACTTATTTTTATATTTTTCCATTTTTTTTAAAAAAAATTAAAAATACCCCTGGGTACAAATCAATTCTTGAAAATCTATCTTTTTCCATTAATTTTCAAACTTCATTTAGATGTGCTTTGTTTAATCATGTTTTAAATATATTTTTTATATTTTATTATATTTTTGTATTTTTTGACACTTTTTTGACCACCTGAGATTTATTCTATTGAACCAGCTCGTCTATCGGGTAATACCAAATAACCGCTACATTTTCATATGTATTTTACAAATCATTTTAACCTCCTCTTAGTTTCCATAGAGGGTGCTTTTCCATAAAGGAAAAAATTATATAAGGTGTCAACCTTATACTTTAGAGTAAGGTGCACCTAAAAAATCCACTAGACAAGACTGTTTTTACTTTGGAAAACCCACAAATCAATTATCTCAACCTCAAGATTCATTGACATAAAAATAAGAGGATTTCTAGTCCTAAAAATAGTTAATCTTTTAACATGTTTATAGATGTGCTTGATCTACATCATTTTTGAAACTTTAAATTTGATAATTGTGGACATGAATAGATTTTCAATAACATAAGGTTGACACCTTATATAGACCTCACCGTATGGAGCCCATCAAACCAGCTCGCCTTTCAAGTGAGGTTTCAAAATATAGGGCATTGGTTTAAAAATCTAGGCATCGGCCATGGGAATTAGGGTTGTGAAGGTGGTCACTAAGTAGTATACTGGCTGCCAATTCATGTCTCCATTGACGTTCCTGGGAAGAAGCAGGAGATCAAGCTTGATGGCATTGTCAAGACTGTGATTACTATGGGTTGCAGCAGGTTAGAACGCCATTTTTGTCCAATTTAAAGCTCTAAAAATTCAGCTTTAATCTTTTAATTTATAGTTACAGTAAAAATTTCTGTCAAAAAAATTGGAAAAAGAAGATAACTTATGGTAAACTTTGATTTCCTGTAGCTACATTTTCTCTTTTTTTGTGGGGATTCTTTGGGTTTTTTCTTAAGTGACTGCACGCTACAGTGACTACACAATTCATCATTTTGTTGTTTTTGTTTGAGCTCTATTTCTGGAAGTCCAATTCTGGCAACCAGGAATGCAGCTAACGCAGTCCTCTAACGTGAGGATTTCGATATTCTAGCATTTTGTTCAAAATAAAATGAATTTATCAAAGAGAAAAGTTTATATAAGGTTGCAACCTTAAAATATAGAATTACAGATGCACCTCAAAAATCTATCGAAAAGGTTGTTTTTATGTTGAAAAACCCTCTATTTGATCATCTCGACATCGACATATAAGAATATAAAAAATAAAAATTTGAGTCTAAAAAATAGTGCATCTTGCAACATATTATCTAGGCCGTCTATTTTTAAGATTTTCATATGTTTATAGATCATCTTGATTTTAATTATTTTTGAAGTTTAAAATTTTCTAATTAGATATGAAAATAGATTTTAAAATAATTCTAAGAATTTTTTACAACAAAATTACATATTATGATAAAATTTGGAGGTTTAAAGATGCAATCCTTATAGATACCGCGCACCCGTTATCTAAAGATGAAATCGAAAACATATTTTTCTTAATGGTGGCCCCACTTTTTATGAAAACACGGCATGATATGATTATTTTCAAAACAGAAATCTAAGTTTTAGATTTATTTAACACTTATTTTGTAAGAACAGTTGAATATTTATTTTCTTAAGTAATCTGAATATTTCTTTCTTTTCATAATTAATCGAGTTATAATTGATTCAAGAAAATCCACCCTGTAATCGTCGCCCAAACAATAGCCGTAAGTTTTGTGGTTTTGCCAAGGGAGTAAACGGGCCGCGTACTCGGACCATAAAATTTTAATAGACGCTCCAAAAAAAAACCGCTACATAAAGACAATTAAAATTGGGATTGATGGGGTGGGGATGTAGAACAAACCTAATAAAATATAATATTGGAAATCATTTTGATAGCTTTAAAATATATTTTTTATTTTTATTTATAAAGTTTAAAACTTAAAAAATAGTATAGATCGAGAGATCTATAAAAACTTGAAAATCTTGAAAATTGACGGTCCAAAAATGTGTTATAAAATATACTATTTTCAAAACTTGAAATCCATTTTTTTTTTCTCATGTCCATGCATCTTGATGTCTAGATGATCAATTGGAGGCTATTTGGGCATCAAAACAACCTCTTCTAGTGAAATTTTAAGGTAGGCTCTAATTCGACTGTTTAAAGCCTCAACTCTAAATAAAATTTTCCCATAAAAAAAAATATTGGACGTGCTTAAAAAAAAAAGGAAAAAAAGTATTTTAAGGACCCATACCCGAAATCGGCTTGGTCCCGGCCTATTCTTGTCCGAAACGATGATCCGGATAAAAAGTCACCTTGTTTAATGCAGTATTCCTATCTTCGCTACCCAAAATCCTGCCTAGTGATTCTAAACTCTTGCGTTTTTTAGCAACCACCCTCCCTCCCTCCCTCTCTCTCTCTCTCTCTCTAGATTAAAGGGCCTGAAACCAAGATAACAGTCCGCCTCTATTCTTCTGCGTTTTCATGGGGGAAGATGAGGAAATTCACCTTCTTTCTCTTCCAACCCGCTCCTCGACCCACTCATCTCTCTCCCCAACTCCACACGCTCGCTACAAAAGCCCCACCAAAACAAAACCCACTCTCTCTCTTCACCTACAACACTCTCATCATGGCAAAATGCAGCAGCCCCTCTTCCTCCTTAGAAGGCCTCGAACTCTTCGTGGAACTCCATTCCATGGGCCTCAAACCGAACCGCTTCACCTTCCCCTCTACGCTCAAAGCGTGCTCTCTCTCTAAAAACTTCAGACCAGGCCAACAATTACACTCTCTTATAGTAAAACATGGCTTTGTCTCAGACCTATATACCCAAAACACTCTTCTCACCATGTATTCTCATTGTTCAAGCTCTTATGTGGAGGCCCTCCAAGTGTTTGATGAAATGCCTGAGAGAGATGTGGTTTCGTGGACCTCCATGATGGCTTGTTGGGCTCAAGCGGGTGAATTGGGGTCCGCTCTACGAGCCTTTGGGCTCATGCTACGAGCTGGGGTTCGGCCAACTCGAGCGACTCTGCTCAGCTTGTTTGGTGCTTGCGCTCAAGCCTGCTTCTTGCCCTTTGGCCAGGCCTTGCACGCTTACACGGTCCATACATTTGCGCCGTGCCTTCCTTTGAGCACCACGCTCTTAGAAATGTACGCAAAGTGTGGGCTCATAGATGAAGCTCTCAAGCTCTATAATGGTTTGGGAGCAGAGAGTTTGCAGGCTTGGACCGCGATGGTTTTGGCACTCGGAATCCATGGCAGGGGAGAGGAAGTCTTGGCCTTGTTTAGAGAGACGGAAAATGATGAGAGGAAAATGGATGGCAAGGCTTTTACTGCTGTTTTGAGCGCTTGCAGTCACTTGGGTTTGGTAGAGAGAGGGAGAGAGTACTTTGAGAGGATGGAGAGAGAATATAATGTGAAGAGAGGGATGGAGCATTATGGGTGCATGGTGGACATGTATGGGAGGGCTGGCATGGTGGATGAGGCTTATGGGGTCATCATGGGTATGCCCATGGAGCCCAATCCTGTGATCTTGAGGAGTTTTATGGGTGCATGCATGGCCCATGGGGTTGGTGAGAGACTGGGCTTCATGGGTGCATGCATGGGCCATGGGGTTGGTGAGAAAGTGGGGAGGCAATTGCTTGAAGGAGAGCCCAGCTTGGGGAAGAACTATGTGCTTGTGGCTAATGTGTGTGCTAGGGCAGGAAGGTGGGATTTGGTTGAGGAATTGAGAGGAGAGATGAGAGAGAAAGGGTTGAAGAAGGTGGTGGGGTGTAGTTGGGTGGAGAGCTGAGAGAAAAAGGATTGAAGATGGTTATCATTAAATTGGGTTGAGAACTTGAGACAAAGCCATCATAGATCCCTACATTGTAGCATAGGACCTTTAATTTTCGCCAAGAGTTTTGCAATGTTGATGGATAATCAGAATTTCGTGTAGCCGATCACAAATAGTTAAAAAAATATTTATGATAATGATGAGATTTACAAAATAAAATTTGAAATTACTTGTATAATAAGACCTTTGCCCAACCATATTCTTGACAAGGGCTCATGTTTAGATGGAGTAAATCTCTTCACAAGAACAAACTCTAGATTGAAGAGTACTAAGGGTAAAAAAAGGGGAGAATGAAGCCAACGAGTGCAAGGGTTCCAGTAGAAGTGGCTATAGGGGGGCTGGTCCCACAACGTGACAAGAGGTCTTTTACTCCCTTTGAACAGCCAGTCTTGTCACTGGCTGGTTGGTGGACTTAGCCCTACAAAACTAGGGCTTGACCGACAAGATGTGGCCAGAGGGCTGAGCTAGGGTTTGGACCATGGCAGGCCTAGCACGGTTCTGATTGGACCGGGCCAGCCCAACCTTGATAGAGACATGGTGAGCCAAGGCCTCTTTGGCCGTGTTGGGTGGGCTCACACCAGCTATAGGGCCACGCAGTGCCAGCCCCAAGATAATTTCTAAAGAAAGTTGTCTCGGTACATGCAAAATTACAAAGGTCCAAGAACCCTAATGAATAGAAGGAGAGATGTTTGAGATGCCTTGCCTTCTTTGGCATATTTAACAAGAATTTCCATTAGAGGAGTGTTTTGGGTGCCCGAGTTGACTCGATAGAAAACTCACGCCATTAGAAATTAGGAAAAGTTCATATCTTTATCCTAAAAAGTAAGGTGCACCTAAAAAACCCGCTTGTTTGGATGCTGAAAAATACTCACGGTTATTTGGATGCTGGAAAATACTCCGATTGATCATCTTGACTTCAAAATGCATGTTTATTCAAAGGAAATATTTTAATTCTTAAAATAGTGTATTTTAAAATACATTATATGAACAGTCAACTTTCAAGATTCTCAATTATTATTGGTCTGCTCAATTTATACTATTTTGATGTTTTAAATTTCAGAATTTTGAGCAAAGTAATTTTTAGGCCATACCTTTCATTCATCCGTACATAAACACCATATCTCTTTTTCTCTCTCTCTCTCTCTCTCTCTCTCTCGCAAAAGACAATCAAAAGGTGCGGCATGAAACTAGGAAACTCCGGCAAAACTCGGCGGTCACCTTTTTTACAATTAGACTCAACAATGTTATAATGTTATTACAAGGAAGTTATTCCAAAAAAAAAGGAAAAAAAAATAATAAAAAAAAAGAAAAAAAAAGAGAAATAGAAATATAGGAAAAAAAAAAAAAGAGCAAAAAAAACCCTAAATCCCTCTCTTAGAAGAAGAAGAGGAAGAAGACCTCATCAAACTCTTAACACGCACCAAACACCTCACCTTCTCCTGCCACGTCAGCCCCCCTTTCTTACCCTTTCCCGCCATACCAAAGCCCTTTAACGGCGACCCCACAACGCCCTGAAAACTATCCGTTTTCTCGTCCACAAATTCCATAACGCTCTCTTTCAACGCCGTTACCACCTCCCTGAGGGCGTTATCAACATCCCCCTTAAACCTCACCATTATTTCACTAATCTCAGCTGGTGTTAACCTCCCCCCCTCACTAATCTCTCTCTCTATAATCTCAAAAAGCCTGTGATCTCTTAATCCCAAATAATTACAGGCCAAAGTCTTAAATGCGTCGAACCCCGCCGGCCCAAGCCGTATGTGCATGTCCATGCGGCCGGACCGGATAAGTGCCACGTCGATCGCGTCTTTGTAATTCGTAGTAAATACGATTATACGCTCTTCCCCGCAGCACGACCAGAGCCCATCAGTGAAATTCAGGAGGCCAGAGAGTGTGACTTGCCCGGGATTTTCTGGCCCATTTTGGCAGTGTTTTCTGTTTTCGGGCAACTTTCTCCGCCGGAAATTGAGATTCCGGTCGGAGAAATCTAGGGAACAGTCGATGTCTTCAATGACAATGATGGATTTGTTCGTGGTTTGAATGAGGAGAGCTCTGAGCTCTGAGTTATCAGAGACTTTGGTGAGCTCTAAATCGTAAACATCGTAGTGTAAGAAGTTCGCCATTGCCGCAATTAAACTCGATTTACCGGTTCCCGGCGGTCCGTAAAGTAGATAACCCCGTTTCCATGAACGGCCCACTCGACTGTAAAAGTCACGGGCCTTTGAGAAAGCCGTTAAATCGGACGTTATTTCAGCCTTCAGCTTGGGGTCGAAGGCGAGGGTCTCGAACGTGGCGGGGTGGCGGAAGGGAACAGAGGCCCACCCCGATTCGAACCCCCCGTGGCCGTTATTTGTAAAAAGCCGGCGATCCCTTGACGAGTTCTCGAATTCCTCGGCGATCTTCGCGATCCTCTCGAAATATCGGTTGAGGCCGAATTCTCGGTCCCTCTTCGAGATTTTGAGCCCGAAACTTCGCCTCTCCTCGAGAGACTCCTGCACTGTCTCGACGTGGTGGGTCCACAAGAATTTGCGCCCGTTCCACGTGTCGTCGAAAGATTGGTTCGGGGCCACCATGAACGAGATCTGGCGCGAGTTTTTGGCACGTGTGGCTGTCACCCTTCGAGAGTTCAGGCACGTGCCGAGGCTCTGGAGATAGAGCTGGATCTGGCGGTAGAGCTCGTTCGGCTCGACGGAGCAGTAGCCGTTGAATTCCGGGATTTCGAAATATGAGTAAGGGGAAATGAGGTCTTGCAGAGATTCATACCATGAGAGGATTAGGGTTAGGATTTGAGAGGGTAACACATTTTGGAGGACAGTTAAGAGGCCTAGAAATGACCAGATTTGGGCTAGGATCTCCATATAGTGCAAGATGCTGGTCTCCCGGTGAGAAATGGTGGTTTTCCGGTGAGATTTTGTGGTTTCTTAGTCAGAAACAGCTAATAAATGGAGTTGCAGTTTTTTCTTGATGGTGGTCTTATTTTCAGGTGTGGGAATGATGGGAAATGGGGTATCTAGTGGTGAGGAATGGTGGGAAGAGAGAGGGAATGGTGGTTTTGGTATTAAGGTGGAGTAATGAAGAGGGGGTTTTCGGCGAGAAATGGTGGTTTTCCGTTACGAAACGGTGGTTTTGTGTTGAGGTGGATAAACCCTGCTTAGTCGAGGTTTCCCGGAAAGAAATGGCGGTTTTCCGATGCAAAACCCATGCCAATGGTGATCAATGTTCTAGTCGGAAAATGCAGCTTGATGGCGGTTTCCTGGGGAAAAATATAGGGAAAAGGCGGTTTTCCGGCTACAGTAAAACCAAAAGTGGTTTCCAGCGGGAAGTTAAAGAGTAGACTTGATCTCTAATTTCTTGTAGGAAGCATAGATGAAGTGTTTAGAGAAGTGAGGGGTTTGATAGGGTTTTATGGTGAGTCTTAAAGTTCACTGTTAATGAAGCTTTACAGCGTGTGGGACTGTCACGTTCGTGCATATGGGACCCCTTGGTCTTTTTTCCCTGCCCTTTTGCCTTTTTTATTATCTTTCTTTCGACGGTCAGGATTCATTTCGACGCCCAGTAAGAGGATAACTCAACCGTTGATTGGCCTCATTTATCCTCTTTATATGATGCAGTGAAAGTTAAAGCGAAAGCATGGTTCTCCTTTGCTTTTAGGGAATTTGGGAGGGTTTGGGACTTTTATCCACACGCGTGTAGAGGTCCACGCTTGTCTTTTTGGCTTTTGTTATGTCTTTTTAAATAATTAATTATTGGAATCCCTCTCGTATTTTTTTAAATTAAAGAGGTTCTCGATATTGTGCTTAATAAAATTCATGTAGTAGACCCCAAAAGATTAGAATAAAGTTCATGATGAAATAAAGACTGGATAATATGATTTTTAAAAATTTTAAATTTTTTAAGTGCGATGGAGGTACTAGAGACTCCTCTTTGGCTAAGTAGCCTGCTACTGCATTTTCTCTTCACAAATTTCACATAATCTTTTAATTTACATTTTTCTCCCGATAAAATATGATTAGTGGAGACTAAAGACCGTCAAATCTGCATCTTTCAAAATTATGGATGGTGATTTTCTAAATCTCCTTCCACCATTAGGGATCCTAGAGCCCTAGGGGTCCTAAAGCCCTAGGGTTCTAGGACCCTGGCTTGATTGTCACTCTCTGTGCACATTGAAACTGCCATGAGTAGGTGTCCAAGGGAACATGGGTTTAATGGTTAGGGGCGCAGTTGCCTCTACATACTGTCCTAGGCTCTATTCCTTCCCATCATTAAACCTAGAAAAAAAAAAGCATGGTAAGGTCGTGCTGCTTCCTTTCTGATAAAATTTGTTAGGTATAGAAGAACTTCTTTGATGAATTCATCTGAATTTAGGGCCATTATACATCTCAGCACCGTCAATGCTGTTAAATTTGGACCAATTTCGGGGAAATGCTTTGTAACACCAATAGGATAACATAATTTCTTGATCGCAATACCAGCAAAACCAATAAAAACATTAACATTCTCATTCTACCATTTTTACTTTAATTGATACATGACATGTATGATATTGTGCTCCTCAAACATTTGAAATTGTCATTCTACCCATTTTAGAGAAATTTTTTATGCTTATTAGATATTATATGCTGATTTGAATGTGCGATTTCAAGTTAAGCACATTATATTTCAAATAAAAAGTATTTCCCTGATAAAATCTATTTAAAATTCCATTGATGAAGAAGTATAAATTTTTTTTAAATGCTTATATGTTTCTCAGGTCAGTAGCTTCTCATTCAAGTAACCATCATTTTGTAAATTTTTAACATTTCTTCCATTTTCTTCCCCTTTTCTTTTCCTTTTCAGGAGTTGAATTTAATCATAAAGTGAGTTTAAAGTAGGAAGAGGTCAGCTGCTAGAAAAGGAACGAAAAATAAAGCAAATTTATTCCCTCATAGAATGTCAACAGTTTCACTCCAAAAAGGAAGAAAGGGGAGGTGTTATAATTTGCTTCTCCAATTTAATTTATAGAAAACCCCAATATCCTGGGCAAGAAATACTCTCCAATTGTTTTCTTCAATGCACAAACTTCACTGAACAATCGAGGGGTATAACGATAATTTAGTAAAAAAATTGTATAATGTAACACCGTTTATTTGTGGTACAGGGAAGTCACAATTACTTGTGATTGGTGGATATAAAATACAAAATTTTAGAGTAAGGGAAGCATAGAAACCTTTCCCTTTAGAGTATGCCAAGACGTTGAAAATCTTTTTGTTAGCTTTTTAGCCTAATCAACAATATACTTCAACCATTCAATTTCACATCCAACGGCTCAGAATGATTGTAATCTCTTTGTATAAAAAATAACTAATCTACATTTCATTTACTAGATAACAATAATATCAATCCCATGTACAATGATGTTTACCGTAGGTAAAACTGTGAAAGGACTCACCTCTTGTATTTTTCATTGAGTGATTAAATGAAGGGAATCGGGCTCCAACCCGGTACATATTTGGTTTTGATTCCCTAGGTCTAAGTCATGAAAGTCTCACGTCAAACTGTGCTACATTTAACAGAAAATAGAAAATACTATATAAGGGATCAAAATCCCTTACAAAATCATTTACGAGTCAAAATATCCCAATTTATATTAAGGGCTTATTTTTTTTATTTTTATTTTACTCAAGTGCCTCATCGTGGCATATCTTAAGAAATGTCCAAATTGATCCTAGATCTTTGAACAAAGGCATTTGACACATCTAAGAGGCCTCAATCAAATGATAAAAGTACCAATGTTTGTTTAGAATAGATTAAATTATTGATATATTTATATCTTTTTTTTTTTCCCTTAAAAAAGAATTGAGGGATATAATTAGAAGTTCAATATTAAAATGACAAAGGAATATGATTTATTGTCGTCAAGGTTTCTTAAGGGACAAATAAGGTTTTAGGGTTTTTTTTCCTATAAATATGAAAGTGTTGTAAAAAAAAAAAAGAGGAAAAAACCAAGAGAACTGACATCAAATTGGGTGCATCAATCATCAAACACTTTTCAACATAGCAAACCATGACACTAATATCTATGGAATCTCTGTAACTGCTCTCTTCCATTCCCGCCAGGGCACCAAGCTCTAAGGATTTTGAATATTTCTCTATTTCAAGCTTAGAACATCATCTTTGGCCTCTTTAAGAAATTAACCCCACGCCTTTGTACTTCAATCCTTTATTTAAACTTGGGCTGAAATCCAATTCTCACCATAAGGTAATATCAATCAAATTTCAGGGCCCCCAAACACCCAATTTCAAGTGAAACAAGAATGTAATTTAGATCAGAGAGAGACAAAGAGAAGAAAACATCCTGTTTTCCTCCCACCCAACATTACAAGGAGACAATCATTGCTTTAATCAATAGAAATTTCTCTCTCTACACTTTACAAAAAGAGAGAAGAAGATTGGATTCCAACCAAATTTCCTCCTTTTTATGCATCCAAGTCACAGCATCTAGTGACACTGACAAATCCAATATCTTCCTTTCACGCATATCCACAAAATAAAGATAATACAAATTTAATATATAATGAGAAAACTGTCACAAATTTCACTTTTTGTTTCATACCTTCCATTCAATTTGCTTTTCTATCGTTTGGAATAGGTGGTCCAGATTTGAGAGAGGGAGCCTTCAGATAATCTAGGCCGTCTATTATGTATCGCTCCAAGTGATACCTTTATGGACTTTAGAGTTTAGACAAAACAAAATGCTGATGTTTGTGGTTTTTCATGTGGAAAAGCATATGTTGTTGGTGCCTGGATCATGGACAAGCCTCTCTCTCTCTCTCTATGGTTTCATATAGAAATCTCTCTCTCTCTC